TCAAAATCTGAGCACTCTATCCGATTCGCCTGGAAAAAAAACCTTCAAAACGCAACTTCTCTTATCCAACATCACTACGAATTGGACTGAACAAACACTTTTTGCCCTCTTTCACATCCCTTCTCACACAACCTTCGCGCAACCCATTTCTCACTAACCTCCCGTCCTGCTAACTTTTCACGAACGAGCAAGATATGCTCGTTTCTCATTCACCTCGCCATATCTGTCTTCACCCGACAGTCTCCCGTGCGCCTTTTTTTCCTAGTAACTCCCCTCTTACTAATTTTCCAGTCAGTTTGACCCCACCATTTGATTCGCCCAGCCAACAAATCTCATATTGGAGCCTGTAGTCGCTCATTTTCGTCAAGAAACGGGCGAGTTTCTCAATCTTTGCTCCTGTCATAGTCACCTCTCTCGATAATTTTGCGCACTGACTTTTTCTTTACCCTCTTGTTCCACTAATCTAACACTGAAACTAACTTCACCACTGCGCTCGCACCATGCAAAACTCCCTATCTACTACTCTAGTTCACCCGATTTCGACAACAATCGGTTGAGCTAAGCATTTTCCATCCCACTATACTCGTAATTCTCTCTCTCCTCTTCCGTGTCGAATGCACCCGGCGCGATTCAGCGCCTAGGTTCACTCCCCTTTTTTCTCGCTTCGTTTTTGTCCCCTCTCCACCCTCTTCTACCTCGTCCCGACCTTTTGTCGCTGCGCTACCCCGGTCGCCACAACGGGCGCCGATCAGCCGGACGGTGGTCAATGGAGCCGCAATCCGCTAAACAGTGCATAACAACTTACCTGTCGAAATGATTTGACCTATCGTGGGCGCTGTTGCGGCCTACAACCTGCACCATTGTAACAGTGGCTCCTGGTCGGTACCTGGTGGAGGATTCTAACCCACTGTACATACCCGCAGGTGCAAGTTAGATAAGGCGGGGTCCTGTGCGGATCCAAGCGGTAGTTAGCACGTATCCAGATGAGGACTTAAAAGCTCCGAGTGAGGAGGGCCCCATGACTGGCTGCAGTGCCCGATTTGCAACTCTTTGCTGCTGCGCCCTGGGCATAGTTTCGTGCTCTAACGGCAGACACACTCCCAAACCTCTCATAGCAGGTCGCGGGTCAGTAGGTTCAACGCCCCCGTTAGGCCCACGACACCCAAGGCCATTCCGTCTAGCAGCTAATCACCCACCGCCTTGGGTACATACTGACTTCCTCGGTCCTCATTTCAAGACGGGCAGGATAGCAAAATTTCATCAATACCCCGGCGCGCGCGGGAGCCTATGGGTCGATCAAAAAGAGGTGTGTGCTCAAGGTCCTCGACCACCGTGACGGCCTCCTAATCCAGCGTTGCGCCTGAGTAAAGGAGTACCGGAACAAAATAATAATAATAAAAATCGTCGCAATATGACGGACGAGGAAAAAGAGACCACCAGTATCATTCGAACGTCGCCAAAGGGGAAACCAATGGGGATAGCCCCACCGAACCCTCAACTCCTCGGTCCCTTCGCACTACTCTGATATCCCCGCGTCGTCGCCGCTCGATCTCGATCCTTGAATCTCTCTAACGAAAATTTGACGCTGTAACCAATTAGGGCTAGGCCCAAGGCTGGGTCTAGCTTTGACGGCCACCAAAATAAACCCGATATTGTGCGACGCGCAGCCCTACCGAAACACTTTGAAAGTTACGTTGTTTGTTGAAGTCGTCCTCTGTACGTACGCACAAGCTACAAGCAAGTGCATCAATCAAGAGACAAAATCTTTTTAATCCTTGCTTAAGTAGAAATAAAATATTTGGTCGGCGATCACGCCAGCTTTTCAGTCATCAACAATTAAAAAGATCACGCACGCCCACACACTCCCTTCTCTAGTCAGCCACTCAGTCAACATAAACCACAGACGCAGCCGAAATACTTAAACTTTAAACCAAACCCATTTTCTATTGCTTGCAAAAACCAGGGCGGATACCCTTGTAAGGGTGTTCGCACTGACAACGGGGAGATGTGAAGGGGCTCGCAGTGTGGGACAGCCCGCTTGTTTGGTCCCAACCAGTGGACAAAACATTCGTGAGGACTCACGTGGTTCGCTCCATGGTCACGAGTTATGGCAATGTCACAATGTGTTAAGGTCCAAAAATTTGGACACACTCCGTTTGGACGGACTTCCCCGACTCGTAGCCATTCAGGCTTGGACCCTACTGACCGGCGGTTGGAAAAGGAAAGTGACCGCATAAAAGCTGGCCAACGTCAGTGGAAACGTTTTGGCGTGATTTGAGAAGACCACACCTCCAACTTCTGGTGGTGTTTTGAAAACGTCCTCACTTGCCGTTTTAGGAAACCCAAGAGGGGCCCCTCCCAAAAAGGAAAGCACGGACGGCCTGCATGGACCAGTGGACATGCTAGCAGTCTGGGTTGGCTTATCCGTGTGTGGCGGTGCATGTTGTCCACGGCACCGTTCGATTGATTTTGGAGTCCGGGTGGGGCGACCCAGGCAGACAAGCGACGGAAGCAGCAACGACAATTTTTTTGGCGGAGGTGTCGTTAAAGGTCACCCGGGGAATTCAAAATTTTGGGGTCCGCATGGGAGATACTCGTGCATATCCAGCCTTCACGCAGTGTTGTCGTGTGGGCGCCTGTGCAGACATTTGTGCGCGGTCATCGCTTGCAGCTCTGTCAGTGGGCTTGTTTGACGTTGTAGTGGACGGAGGCTATGAACATGTCAGGATGTGGGATGAATCGTCAGGAAAGCGAGGATGCAATGTGCATGCTTCTTTTCATCCTCTTCCAGTGGGTGAACAAATGAAATGTCGCAGCGTTGGTGGTCGTCAAGGCAGTATCGTTGATGCCTTTCGTCCACCAAAATGTCTTCCCCGTGGTGAAACTACTAGCGGGGGGGCTGTTGCACGGTTTTGCTATTGGTTTGTTGGTGGTGGAGGAGATGGGGAGGATAATGGACCGCAGACATTGTTTGTGGGTGTTGGAGCGTAGCGACGGTCTTTGGAAGGATCTCCGGCAAGTGGGGGCTGAGCATGACAAGGTTTTCCTTCGGTTTTGCAGACTCTCACACCCCGTGTTCTTTGAAGTTCTTGCTCGCATCAACCCGCATATCCAGCGGTCGCCCACGGACTTCAAATTGCCAATACCCATCGGACAAAAGTTTGCATGCGCTCTGATGAGATGGGCTACTGGTGGTTCTTACAGGCAGTCCTCCCTTAGATTGGGCATCGGCGCAGCAACGAGGAAGTGGCCGACGCGATCATCCGAGAGTACGGCCATCTGCTACGGTTCCCTACAGGGCAATGGTCGAGGACGTGCAAAATTGCTTCAAGAGAAAAGGGTTCCCCGGGTGTGTGAGCGTGATAGATTGCACGTATTTGTATATTGACAAGTTGAAGGGAGAGCGATCGAAGTGCTATACCACCACACTGGGGCGTTCTCGGTTGTGGCGCAAGTCACGTGTGACCACGAGTGTCGAATTGTGAGTGTTTTTGTGGGTTGTCAGGGGTTTGTGCATGATTCGAGAGCTCAACGCATCTCGCCACTGTTCGTAAATGCTATGTATGGTAAAGGAGTGTTGGTTGAGGGAGGTGTCGTGTTGCACGATGGCAGACATGTTGGCAGCTATTTGTTGGGTGATCAAGGATACCTTCTTCTTCCATGGCTCATTACTCTCTTTTGGCCGGTTCGTTGTGACGCCGGCGGATCAAGCGTTTGGTTTGAGCCACAGTGCAGCGAGGTCGTGCATTGAGCAGACTTTCGGTTGTCCGAAGGTGGTTTGGAGAAACTTCCTTCGGAGACACATTTGCATCCTGAAGACCGTCTGCAAAGAATTCATGGTCGTCTGCATTCTTCACAAACCCATGATCGAACACAACGTGCACACCGACCCAACATTTATGGAACAATAGTGACAGCGATGCAGACGACGACCAACGAGGGAACCATCGACGATGTCGGCGCCGACGTCGATTCAACCGCCATCTTCTGGACTTGAACATTGAGGCGCCGACGGAGGATGACCCTAGTTATAGGGAGGAACTCGCGCACCACGTCAGGGCCAACCTGGTGGAGCACGTGGGCCACCACGTGGGAGTCCACGGGGCTCCTCTGCCATGCCCATGGCGGTAGTGCTCTTCTTTCGTTTTTCTGGGGTTGTGTGGGACAACCCCTTTTAGGGCGACCGAGTTCTCGGAGAAGACATTAAGGCAGACGGAGGTCGATTGCATGATGGGGGTATGGGCGAAGAACTTCAGTGTCAGTATTGTAGGTCGTTAGTAGATCCTATTGGGTTGAGCAAAGCGTCATCTTTCGTTACATTGACTAGATAGTTGGGTTACAACAGTGCAGTTTTGTGGCAATGTACAAACATTTATTTGTTTATGTACTTGAAGAAAGTTTAAATCAAGTTGTCTTTGGTTCGTTGTCAGAGAATGCATACTCGTGTTTTCTTTTTTTTACTGTTTACTGTTTCACACTCTGCGAAGCACCTTGCGGCAAACATTTTTACCACCCCAATTCCCCACCGAAACATGTTCACGTGCAACGAGCCAACAAATAATTACACGTAATATAAACAATGAATGTAGCGAAGTGTGAGATGGAGAGACGGAACACATACATTTCGAGGGCCTACGTATTTAAAGTCATTGACACGCAAACTATTGAACAACAAACTCACTTCGAATAATGAATGAATGACGTAATGAAGTTGTATTTGGGTTGATGAACAGTTCGGTTGATGAATCTGGGTTTGATAAACGATATCTGTCCACAATTGACGTTGAATCGCACCATTCCATCGTCAATAATAGCACGCCCAAAATTTGACAAAAAGTGGAAAAAAAAAAAAAGCAAGGGAGGTGATAGACCTGAAAAACCAATACAAAAAAAAATAGAAAAATAAAATACCAAACGACGTGCGTCAATCTCAAACAACCAGAAACGAAATTCGTACAAATGGATGACTCGATTTGAACATGGAATGAGTACACAGTTTGACGATTCCACAAAAAGGCATCCGTTGCAAAACTCGAATAATGTCCAGACGGCCATTCATCACTTCCTCTATTGGAAGTATTCAGTCATCATCATCATCACCATCATCATCATCATCATCATCATCATCATCATCATCGTCATCGTCGTCGTCATCATCATCATCATCATCATCATCATCATCGTCATCATCATCATCATCATCATTATCATCATCATCATCATCATCATCATCATCATCATCATGATCATCATCATGATCATCATCATGATCATCATCATCATCATCATCATCATCGTCATCATCATCGTCATCATCATCGTCATCATCATCGTCATCATCATCGTCATCATCATCATCATCATCATTATCATCATCATCTTTATCATCATCTTCATCATCATCTTAATCGTGGTCGTCGTCACCACTATGAAGATGAGATTCGCCATCGTCACAGTCGTCATCATTGCAATTCGGCTTGTACCCGTATATGAACATCGAAAACACGACCGTTATCGTAAACATCATCATCATCTCGAAGGAGATGGTGAAGAAACAACTCTCTCTCTCTCTCTCTCTCTCTCTCTCTCTCTCTCTCTCTCTCTCTCTCTCTCTCTCTCTCTCTCTCTCTCTCTCTCTCTCTCT